TTTTGATGTAATGAGAATATGGTAATATAGGTAGTCCTTAACTTATGACCGTTATTGAGCCTGGAATTACAGTTGTAAGTTGTGCTGGTTGTTAAGTAGATCATCACACATGGTTGTGCCTGATTTGATGACCTTTATGTGCGGCAGTCACTAAACAAATGCAGTGGTTGTTAAATGAATCCATTGTCTGCAGTGGGGGGTTTTTTGGTCGGGAACCAAAAGCAAACACCAGTTTTCAGCAAAACGACTGTAAATGCAGACCAGTTGTGGAGTGTGCAAAAATGCAATTACATGATCTCTGTGTGGAGGTGGGGGAAGAAGGGGTGCCTGGCCATCAGAACTTCAAACCTGGCTTGTAAATAGGCCTGGAATGATCTGTTACAACTTCAAACAGTTGCTAAGTGACAGGTAGGATTCTATTTTTTTGTGTGTGTGTCTAACCTTCCTATGCCAGTAGAATTGTCTTACATTCATAGTAATCTCCTAGCCTCATTCTTCCTCAAATCTCCCCCAAAGGGTTTTTCAATTAAAATAATAATCTATATAGTCAGTTAACCACCCTCAGACATTTACCAGCTACCACAATCCAAAAGAAAATAAATTTTGGAGGGATTTCAAATTAACTTGGAAATAAACTGACTCAGCTTCCAAAAATAGATAGTTTGAAATTGGTTCAGAACCAGAGTTTTTTTGTTTCTGAAAGTACCCAAGGAATTGCAGTTAAAATTTCTAGGAAATTAAGGCAAATGGCAGAAGGAAAGGCAAATCAAAAACCCTCAGTTTTGATTTTTTTTTAACAAGGCAAACTGGCAGTTGAGGAACCTACCGGATCCAGATAACAAGGCAATGCTTCTGCAAGGAGCTTTTCAGTGTAGCTGCTCACCTCTGAAGGCTTGAGAATCACACAATTCCCTAATATGGGAAGAGAATACTTTACCATGGTTGCAACAGATTAACATCCACCACATGCCTGGATCTCTTGGAAGAACACTAATCAAATCTAATGTCTAAACTGAATTAGGAAATAGCTTCTCACTCACCAGCTGCAATGGCTCCCACAAGGGGCAACAAAGTAAGCTGGATAGGGAAGTTATAGGCTCCAATGATCAGCACCACACCGTATGGATCCCTGCGAACGAATGCACAATCCAGCAGTGTTACCTATAGAAAAACAGAAAAATCCATGAAACCAAATGGGGAAGGGAAATTAACAGAAGATTTTGTAAGAGTGGAAATACTTGATGAGCTACAAAGCACAAACTCCCTTGATGTCTACTTCGAAATAAATCTTTGCTCTAATGCATATGATTTAACATTGTTTATCCTCTCCTTTGTCTTTTTAAAGGCAGTGCAAGGCTTTAATATAGATATTTGAAAAGCTGACGCCGAAGTGTTTTCATTTTCAGTCATATAGCCTCGATTTGTCTGGTTAGCATGTTGTTTAATCTCAGTAACACTCCATCTTAATTCGTACAATAAGTACTTCTGATATAAAAAAAGAATTCTCCAGGTCATTGATTATGATTGGGTATTAGTGTTCCAGCTTTGGAAGCTGACACATATACACAGACACATGTAGTGTATACCCCTCCCCTCCAGGAAGCATAATAGACTACATCAGTGGAATGGGAGGGCTAAAATATTAATTGATTTTAGAAGTCCTAGGAATTGTGAAGGGTGTATATTTACATTTGGGGAAGAGGATTAAGGAATGGATTAAGGCTTTAAACCTCCAACTATCCCCAAACCCATTTAAACAATTACAACTCCGCTACATGTAAATTTTATACTGAAATCAAGGGGCAAAGGCCAAAATGTTTGATCTTACCACACACTCCACAAAGTTCTGAGGGTATCAGGGAGGAATATCATTGACTTTATATCAAACATGGGATTAAGAAAAATTCTGTTGAAGGTCAATCTCCCTGAAGGTTGTAAGGAACTTTATATCATTTGTAGTTAGGATCAAAGATTATTATATCATTTGTAGGTAGGACCAAAGAAACCGTTCAGGTTAAAGCAAATCCAAGCATGAAAGGGGTTATTCATTCTCTTCTTTTCCTCTTTATGACACCCTCTTTTCTCTCCCCCCCATGTAGTAAGTTTGGCAACTATAGTGTGGGAACTTAGCCCCCCTGAGAGAAGGAAATATTTTGGGGGATATTAAAAAGGCAGAATATTATATTTCCCCAAAGGAAAGCAGGCCCAGGTTTTCTTAATAGCCCCAAACAGAAACTCTGCAGACCAGGTCTATAGAAATGCAGATTTGATAATCCCATTCAAAAAGTCTAAGGCCCCATTCATGAGCAAATAG